AAAAAAAAAAAATTAAAAATTAAAAAGCATATTGAGAAGACTACATACATATAGTACAATTTTTAAAGCTCTTAAACAATCAAAACTAAATAATATATTGTTTAAGAATATAGATGTAATTAAAAAGACAATGGAATTAAACAATAATGAAAAGAGGTAGAGCCAGTAAATAAAAATGAAATTCTAAAACATATTCAAATAATACAAAAGAAGACAGAAAAGGAGGAATAGAGGAATAAAAATGTAGGTGACAAACAGAAAATAAATAGTAACATAGAACCAAATCTAACTATCAAATTACATTAAATGTTAATGAACTAAACACTACAAATAAAAGGCAAAGATTGTCACAGTAGATAAAGCAAGATGCAACTTTATTATTTTAAAGATTTATTTACTTATTTCAGAGAGAGAGTGTGTGCGGGGTGGAGGCATGGAGAGGGGCAGAGGGAGAGAGAATCTCAAGCAAACTCTGCACTGAGTACAGAACACGATGCAGGGCTGGATCCCACAACCCTGAGACCATGACCTGAGCTGAAACCAAGAGTCAGATGCTCAACCAACTGTGCCACCCAGGCTCCCCAAAATGCAACTATATTTTGTTTATAAGAGACAGTCTTTAAAATACAAAGAGATTGAAAAATATGTCTTGTATAAATAAGTCTGTAGTGGCTATATTAATATCAGATAAAGCAGATTTCAAGATAAAAAGTCTTACTAGAAGATAAAGCAATCTTGAAAAAGAGGAATCAAGTTAGAGGATTTATATTTCCTTCAAAACTTACTATAAAGTACAGTAGTCAAGATAGTGTGGTCCTAGCATAAAGATTGACAAATAGATCAATGGAACAGAATAAAGAACCCAGAAGTAGACCTCATCTATACAATCATTTGATTTTTTACAAAGGAGCCAAGTAATCCAGTGGGGAAAGGAAAGTCTTCAACAAATGGTACTTGAAACTAGATATCCATGTGGAAAAAAATGAACCTCCTACTCACACCATATACAAATATTTTTTCAGGATGGGCCTTGGACCTTATATATAAAACCATAAAGCTTTTATTTAAAAATATGGTAGAGTAGGAGCACCTGGGTGGGTCAGTCAGTTGAGCACCTGACTCTTCGTTTCGGCTCAGGTCATGATCTCAGGGTTGTGGGATCGAGGCCTGAGTCTGGCTCCATGCTCTGCACGGAGTCTGCTTCTCTTCCTCTCTCTCTGCTCCTGCCCCAATTCACGCACGCTCTCTTGCTCTCTTTCTCTATCTCAGATAAATAAATAAAATATTTAAAAGAAGAAGAAGAAGAAAACACCTTGTGCAACATTTTAAAAAGTATGGTAGAGTGTGTTTGTGACTAAAGGGTAAGCAAAAGTTTCTGAGGACATGGAAAACAATAACCATTAGAGAAGAAAATTGCTAATTAAACTGTAATTGCAACTTTCATACATTGTTGATTAAAGTGTTACAAGCACTTTGGAAAAAGGCCTGGCAATTTCCTATAAAACTATGCATGCATCTATCCCATTACCCAAGAGAAACAAAAACATATTTCCACCAAAAAAAAAAAAAACACAAAAGAGGGCTTCTGGGCGGCTCAGTCAGTTAAGCCTCCAGCTCTTGATTTTGGCTCAGGTCATGATCTCAGGGTCCTGATATCAAGCCCTGCATCAGGTGCCATGCTCAGCGGGGAGTCTGCTTGAGATTCTCTCCCTCTTCCTCTCTCCCCCTGCTCACATGCTCTCTATCCCTTTAAAATAAATAAATCTTAAAAAAAAAAAAAGGAAAGCTCATATAACAGTTTTATTCATAATAGACAAAAATTCAAACACCCCGAGCACATATATCAGTAGGAGATGAATAAACTGTGGTGTATTCCTACAATGGAATCCTCAGGAATAAAAAGGAATGAGCTCCTGTTAAATGCAACAACATGGATGAATCTCAAAACATAATGCTGAGTAAAAGAAGCCTCACACAAAAGAGTACATACTATATGATTCCATTTATATGAATAGTGGAATCATATAAATGGAATTATATGCTATGTGCTAATTTGGGGGGAAAAGTTGTGGTAGAAAAATCAGAACAGTGGTTGTCTCTAGGGGTGGGTGGTGCCAGGTGTTGACTGAGAAGAGGTACAAGAAAAAATTCTGAAGTGATAGAAGTGTTTTGCTTTTTTTTTTTTTTAAGATTTTATTTATTTATTTTGACAAAGAGAGACACAGAGAGAGAGGGAACACAAGCAGGGAGAGTGGGAGAGGGAGAAGCAGGCTTCCCACGGAGCAGGGAGCCCAATGCGGAGCTCGATCCCAGGACCCTGGGACCATGACCTGAGCCGAAGGCAGACGCTTAACAACTGAGCCACCCAGGCGCCCCAGAAATGTTTTGCTTCTTGATAGAAGTTTTATTTACACAGATATATACGTTTTCAAAACTCTTTGAATGGTGCACTTAAGATTTGTGCATTTCATGGTATATAAATTTTACTGTAAGAGGAAAAAACTGTAATACTGAATTCTGTGTAATTTAATGGCAAGTGTACTGATATCTGTAACCTACTTTAAAATGCATCAAAAAATAAGATGGATTGATGGAAAGGCAGGTAGATAAATTAATATGTGATTAAAATATTAATGGTAGAATACATATGGTAAATATTTACAGATTCACTATATGGTCTTTCAACCTTTTTTATGTTTGAAATTTTTTATAGTAGAGTGAGAACAAGAAAATTATAAACTTAAAATTCAAGGTAGTAGTCACATCCTGGGAGAAGAATAAGAATGGGAGATAGGTAATAAGCACACAGATGCAAAGGTATCAGTACTAGTCTGGCTCTTTTTAAGTTTTTTTTTTTTTTTTTAAAGATTTTATTTATTTATTTGAGAGAAAGAATGTGAGTAGGGTGAGGTGCAGAGGGGGAAGGAGTAGGAGGGGGCAAGAGTCTCAAGCAGACTCTATGCTGAGCACGGAGCCCAGGACGGGGCTCAATCTCACAACCCTGAGATCATGACAGACACTCAACCAACTGAGCCACCCAGGTGCCCCAGTACTAGTCTAGCTCTTCAGTGTTCACAGATATTCATTGTATTATTGCATCTCGTAACTTACATACATCTTAAAAATACCCTTTATATAGTTTTCATACAATTAAAAAATATGATAATACATTAGAAGTTGAGCTCTATTAACCAGTAATAACAATAATGAAGCACTATTTGTTAAACGACATTCCAGGATATCATTTCTCTATATTATAGTTCCCTTGGGCCTCAAAATCTAACATTTACATTTGCTTGTCTGAATCTTTTCATTTTCTTTCTTGCAAACTTTCCAGGTTCTATTGACTCTAGAGACTATCAGTTCCTTTCCTTTTAACACCCTTCTTTTCAATCCCTAAAGGGATTACTTCTGAACCTAAAACCTCCCCTACAGGCAAATAGTTGAGCACACTATGACCTTTAACCTGTCTTCTCTCTGTGGGTAGAATCTTTACTGCGTTCTTCCCTTGGTGGAAAATAATAGGCATGCCTCTCTAATCAATAACGAAAATAAAATGAGAATAAAAGTTGTAGAGTTTTAAGTCATAGTAGCTGACCTGGAATGGAGACAGAATGATATAGAGGTGAATGGGTTTGGTTTCATAAACTCGAAAATGTAGGTGGCTCAGTGACAGACAGTACACATACTGTTTGAAATTATTTTTGTCCTCCAGTTTTGATGTTTGCCAAATAGAGCAAAAGTGACCAAAAAGCAAATATAAAATGTCACGGAACAAACTTAAGGAAAAACTTAACACCTTAGTATTATTAATTCTCACATCTTTTCTCACTTTTCCTTTATGTCAATATTCTTCTGTACATGAAAATCTGTGTCATAACTTATAAGACCTAACCTAGGCCAGGGAGAAGTAAATGATGCTTTTTCAATGTGTTGGGAGGCAGTATTTTTATCAGTTTTAATTCTAGCTTCACCATATGAGTTTCCTTGGGCAACTTACTTAGTTCCTCTTTGTGAATTTCAGTTTCTTCAACTGTAAAATCCGTATTTCACTGAATCTAAATTGCAGTGTTATAACACCCTCAATTATTTTATGTGCCACTAAGAAAAAATAAATATTGCAATTAAACTATGATTCAATGCTTTTTTATTGATTGAAAATATTTATCCTAAGGTGTGTGTGTGTTAGAATCAGTGAGAAATATAGTACCATCAGTCTTCTGAATTATTTTTTAAGATTTTATTTATTCATTCATTCATTCATTCATTCATTCATTCATTCCTTGCAAGCAGGGGCAGGGGCAGAGGGAGAAGGAGAGAGACAATCCCAAGCAGACTCTGCACTGAGCGTGCAGCCCAATGCTGGGCTCGATCTCGCGACCCCAAAATCATCACCCGAGTGGAAACCAAGAGTCAGATGCTTGACCAACTGAGCCACCCAGGCGCCCCTCAACCTTCTGAATTTATAAGTAATAAGTAGGACAATGTACTTAAAGTGTTGAGCAAGGAACCTGGAACGTTATAAATAATAACTAGTAGCCTTTATGTTGAGGGTGATACTGTTCGTGATTTGATCATGAGCACTTTGTGAAGTAGCTCATTGTTTAGGTTGTTCTTTGGGGATCAGAATTATTAATAGAACATCTTAATGAGATTTGTTGGTGGCAATCAGAATGCCCACTCATTTTGAATCTGAAATAGCATAACAGTGGCATAACATCTTTAGTTGGTTTTCAGAGGTAATTCTTTTAACTATTAGCATTTTGTTATCAATGAAATTTGTTGGCTATTGTTGAAGTTTCCTCCAGAAATAAATTCTACTGATATATATCAACCTTCTGTATTGGTTGAAGTTGCTATTTATGGAGAGAATTTGTTCAAGTGCACAAGATGAGTGAGATATGCCTATATGTAAAGCTTAGTAAAATTGCGTTGTTGATATTATGATATATGACCTCAGGTTTTAAACTATTTTTTTTATCATTTTCCTGTCTCCGCAGGAGGCAGACAGTGGGGAGGAGGAATGCCGGTCACAGCCCCGGAGGTATGTTTGTTCGTTATATTCTATAGCATTTCTATCAGAAGTTAATGTTTTTTCTCTAATTCTTTCTTAGTCTTGTCAGATTAGGTTATCATGGTTTTCCAAGAAGCTTAATTGGTCTCTCAAAATGGGATTGCTTTAAGAATCCAGTCACTGACTCAGAGATTTAAAATGGTAGATTGCATTATGTTGTACACATGAAACTAATACAATGTTGTATGTCAGTTATACATACATACATACATACATAAAATGGTAGATTGCTTTAAGAAAGTGCAGGTATGCCAATATTGGCCCAATTTTTATTCAAGTCTGAAGAACTATCGAGTAATAAAAAAGTAAATTTTCATTACCTTTTAGGAAAATATCAACTGAACATTTCAGCCTTCAGTTTTGTACTTAGGTTTGTCATTCATTTTGATGGATATTTAAATTCTTATAGATTGGTCAATATTTTGCTTCTAAATACAAAGGATATACTGCGTAACTTACCCAATCCTTCAAATACAATGAATACTCACAGAGTAGTGGGCATATTGTTAAAAGGGTACCAGTGCCTGCTGCCATTAAAAGAAAAATATTATGAGAGATATTTAGGAAGTATATAAATATTTTTGTTATCTCCTATAAGTGGTTTTATAAATCAACTTTTTCCCCCAGGAAACAGTTCTGGTAAGTTCAAGATGGTCATTTAAATGCTACCAAATTTGTATCCTTTGAACTCAATCACATGAGCTGTTCTGTATGATACAGAGGAAGTATACAGTAAGCATGCTCAATGTGGAGAACCTGGCCAAAGGGAATACTTCCTTAATGATGAATTATCAAGTGTTTGTTGCTGTATACCACTCTTGTAAACTGCAAGTTTATATAAAAAGAGTTCCTTTTCATCAGTAACTGAAGCTTATTGACAATAAATTTCCTGTCTTGGTTAGCATGAAAAATTTGGCTTGCAGCTTAATTTTTCACTCTCTCTTGGGGAAGATCTGACAGTGAAGTGTCATTCTTTTGCATAGGGCTAAGAGATAGAAACCCAGAAAAAATTTTAGCTGAATTATTACCAGAGGCATCATAACCTTATTCCCATTAGAGTGAAAAAAGGATTCCAAAAGATTCTGAATTTTCTACTAGGCCAAATGTAAAGATCATTGGGTTAATTTCAAGCTTACATATTGACTTGGCATCTACTGGGGGATAATTGTTGTTCCAAAAATTACATAATGATGAGGCAATGCAAGTTTACTCTCATTCACAGTCCTGAATTGTCAAGCCATTAAGAACCTTTATAAAGACCACTGTTTTTAAAGTTGTTGGCAATATATCATTAATATGACTAGCAGAGGGTTTTTGTAGGCTTCTTCTTTTTACAAGAAAAGGATCATTTATACAAAGAAGTAATGAAGAAAAACCTGGTAGCACCCATTTTTTTTTTAAAGATTTTTATTTATTTATCAGAGAGAGAGAGCACAAGCAGGGGGTGCAGCAGAGGGAGAGGGAGAAGCAGGCTCCTCACTGAGCAGGGAGCCCGATGTGGGACTCGATCCGAGGTCCCTGGGATCATGACCTGAGCCGAAGGCAGATGCTTAATGACTGAGCCACCCAGGCGTCCCTGGTAGCACCCATTTTTAAAAATCAAAATTTACTTGCCTGTTGTAATTTCTTACATTCAGTATGTTTCCCAGGCTATTTCTAAATCTAATTGCTTTAGTCTGACTCAAAACAAAGAAACTTCTCTTAAGTGCCAATTGAATGCCCCTTGTAGCTAGATGGTATGTAAGAGGTTGATTTTTTGTGTGCTTGACTACTACAGATTATTCTGGTATTCCCTATCACTTACCAGAGAATAAACCAGCACTGAATTAGCATCATTTCACTGAGCATGCCGGAACTCATCTTTTCAGTTTGTGGGTTCAGTTGTGGTTTGTAGTAGAGAACTGAATAGTAAACAGCATATTATTAAAACTAATGCCAAACAATAGCCAAACTGTGGAAAGAGCCAAGATGTCCATTGACAGATGAATGAATAAAGAAGATGTGGTATATATACACAATGGAATATTAGGCAGCCATCAAAAGGAATGAGATCTTGCCATTTGCAACGACGTGGATGGAACTGGAGGGTGTTATGCTGAGTGAAATAAGTCAATCAGAGAAAGACATGTATCATATGACCTCACTGATAGGAATTCTTAATCTCAGGAAACAAACTGAGGGTTGCTGGATGGTGGGGTGGGAGGGATGGGGTGGCTGGGTGATAGACATTGGGGAGGGTATGTGCTATGGCGAGTGCTGTGAATTGTGCAAGACTGTTGAATCACAGATCTGTACCTCTGAAACAAATAATGCAATATATGTTAAGAAAAAAAGGAGAAGAAGAAGAGAGCAGGAGGGGAAGAATGAAGGGGAGTAAATCGGAGGGGGAGACAAACCATTAGGGTCGATGGACTCTGAAAAACAAACTGAGGGTTCTAGAGGGGAGGGGGGTGGGGGGATGGGTTAGCCTGGTGATGGGTATTAAAGAGGGCACATTCTGCGTGGAGCACTGGGTGTTATGCACAAACAATGAAACATGGAACACTACATCCAAAACTAATGATGTAATGTATGGTGATTAACATAACAATAAAAAATTTAAAAAATAAAACTAATGCCAATTCCACATAATAAAAAAGATGTTTCATTAATTATCTCTTATTTTAACCAAATGCCATTTATTGGGAAAGTCTTAAGTTAAAAGTAATCATTTAATATAATTAGCTCAAAATATGAAGTCTTTAAAAACCAATGTTCACAGGCAACAACAAAAATAGATAAATTAGTCTACATCAAAATTTTTGCGAATAATATAGCTGATAAGGGGTCAATGTCCAGAATATATAAAGAACTCTTACAACTCAAGCACAATGGAAAAAGAACAATCTGTCTTATTCAGCTCAGGCTCCTATAACAAAATACCATAGACTAAGTGGCTTAAACGACAGGAATTTATTTCTTACAGTTCTGGAGGCAGGAAAATCCAAGCTCAACGTGCTGGCAGATTTGGTTCCTGGTGAGAGCTTTCTTCCTGGATTTCAGACAGCTGTGTTCTTGCTGTGTCCTCATATGGCTGTGTGAGAGAGGATGCTCTGGTCTCTTCCTCATATGTAGACATGAATCCTGTCATGGGAGCCCTCTGACATCATCATGACATCATCTAACCCTAATTTCCTCCCAAAGGCTCCCATCTCTAAATACCATCACATTAGGTGTTAGGGCTTCAACATATGGATTGGGGGGGGCGGACACACAAATATTCAATTCATAACATTCCACCCTACCCCCCCAACTCATATCCTTCTCACATAAAAAATATATTCATTCCATCCCAGTAGTCCCAAAAGTCTTAACTCATTTTAGCATCTATTCTTAAGTGTGAAGTCCAAAGTCTCATCTAAATATCTCATCTAAATCATGGGCATGCCTGGGTAGCTCAGTCGATTAAGCATCTGCCTTCGGCTCGTCATGATCTCAGGGTCCTGGGATAGAGTCCCATATCAGACTCCCTATTCAGCGGGGAGCCTGCTTCTTCCCCTCCCTCTGTCTGCCATTCCCCCTGCTTGTGCTCTCTCTCTGTCAAATAAATAAAATCTTTAAAAAAATATATCTCATCTAAATCAGATATGGGTGAGATTAGAGGCAGAATTTCTCTCCAGCTATGAACCTCTGAAACCACATAAGTTATGCACTTCAAGACATGGTGGTAAGAGAAGCTTGGGAAAACATTCCCATTCCAAAAAGGAAAATAGGAGAGAAAGAAGAGGTGACAGGCCCCAAGTTAATCCAAAACCTAGCAAGGCAAATTTAGATCTTAAGGCTTAATAATAATGCTCTTTGGTTTCGATACTCTTCACTGGGGACCCACTGGGGCAGTTGTCCTGCCTTCAAGACCCACTGGAGTGGTGGTGTCATCTCCACGGCTCAGCAGGGCAGCCCTGCACCCTTGGCTCCCTTGAAGTGCCACCCATCTGGCATTCTGCAAGGGCCCGTCTACCTGGCACTCTGCTGGGCAGCAGGACCAACGCAAAGGCAGCCTTGCCCCTCAGCCCTTGCACTCCGGGTCTGTAGTCCTGATGATCTCCGAATCGCCTTTGGGGTCCTTCTTCCCTTTTCTTGAAGGATAATGTATGTTCACAGCCTTCCTTCATTCTCTCTTGTTTTCTTTGCTTCCTTTAGTCCCAGCTGGTAGTGTTTCTGCTCGTATAAATCCCATCTCTATTCCTAGCTTCTGTGGAGATGGCTGTGGAGAGGTCCATGGTTCACACCCAGTTTCATCATCACACCCTTGGGGTTTTCTTCTGAACATGCTCTCTCATTTTTTACAATATTCATTTTTCTCTTCTCATATTTTACTATTTACAGTTGGAAGGAAGGAAGCTGTTCCTTCAGTGCTTTGCTTAAAAATCTCCTGAGCTAAATATCTAATTTCCTCACTCACAAGTTATACTTTTCACAAGACAGCTAAGTTTTTTCCTACTTTATAACAAGTATTGCCTTTTCTCCGTTATCCAATAACATGTTCCTTATTTCCATCTGAGACCTCATCAGAGTGGACTTTACTGCCCATATTTCTACCAACATTCTGTTCATGATTATGATGTATTCTTTAAGAAGAGAGAGGGCTTTTTCTCCGGCCCTCCTCTTTTCTTTCTGAACTCTCACCAGAATTGCCATTAACACTGCGTTCATGACAATCTTACCTTTTTCAAGCATGCACCTCAGAATTCTTCCAGCCTCTAGCCACTTCCAAATTCCAAAGCCACTTCCACATTTTTAGGTATTCAATATAGCAGCACCTCACTTCTCAGTACCAAAATCTATATTTGAGTTTTCTTAAAAAAAAATAGGAAATATAAAGATAGATTTAGTGTAAGGAATTGGTTCACACAATTATGGAAGCTGGGAAGTCCCCAAGATCTGCAAGTTGGAGACCCTGGAGAGCTGATGGTCTAACTTCCAGTGTGAGC